CAGCTTCCTTCGCTTTCGTCGGAACTACGCTTACGCAGGTTTCTGCGGGCCCGAATTTAGGTTTAGCTGTTTTCGGAAGGAAATCAATGACGGGAAGTTAGCAAGCTTTTAATGAAAACAGCAAATCCGTTGAATTGATTTGCTGACTTTCGGGAATCGTGCGGATGAAAAATGCAGCAGCTGGCGGCCGTCTGGAAGTTCGGCCAGTGGCCACCGGCCGCCGAGTCGCCGCCGGGCGTTGCCGGCCCCCGGGGCGCGGGGCCGGTGCGGACGGGCCGGGGTCGAACGCGGTCGGCTGTTTACGATCGCCGCAGGCGTTATCGCCTGCGGACGCGCACACGGTGCCGATAGGCGCTGCTCATCAGGCGGCCTCATCAGCGGAGGCGGACGGGCGAACAGACCGTCATCGCGTCCCAGGCCGGGCTGGAGGGAGTGGCTGGCTCCGTTCGGAGAGGAGACGGTGCCACAGTCTGGAGAAGGTGAACACGCTTTGTGTGGGATCTCTGGGAGGCGATTCTGGGTCTGGAGGACAGGGAAGTTGGCAATATTTGGTCTAGAGGACAGGGAAAGTTGTCTTCATGATCGAGATACGTCCCGAGGCCTCGAGGATGTTCCTCTGTGTGAGACTGATCTGGTGCGTCGAATTAGTTTAAAGGCGCCCTGTTCTGATACAAGCTCTCGTGAGAAGGATATGCATGAGCTAATCGCCATTCTTGTGGCGGGAGGGACCCCCGAGCCGGCCAAGACCGAAGCTTCCCGGAACGGTCGCCGGTCAGCGGCGATCGATACCAACAGCTGCGCTTTGTTTCTACAAAACCTCGCGTTATGCCCGCTAGCGGGAGAGTAATTGTCGTTAAGCGATCTGGCCGGCTTTACGAGCCATTCGGCCGCCATAAGCCGGCCGTGCTGCGGCGGCCGCTGCAGGCTTCCCTGCAGATCTCAGTGTGACGCGGCCACCTCGTCCGGCGGACAGCGCCGATCGCCCCCACGGCTACCTCCGCGCGCGCGCGCGCGACACGAGACAAAGGCGGCTGGCGGCGGCCAGAGTGGCGGACGCCATCGGTCGCCGCGCGGTTCTCGAGGCGAGCCGCTGACGACGCTCGCCGCGCAGCATCCATCACCGGCGCACCGAGCAAGAATGCCCGACCGTCAGCTATCGCAGCCGCGGCGAGGGGCGGCCACGGCCAGACGCATATGCGGCTATCAGTGATGCATGGGGCCGTCGTCGCAAGCGCACCATCTCCTCGTCGGGCGCCGCCCGCGCCGCCGGTCTGCGGGGAGGATTAACAGATCTACCGGGCTGGAGTGGTCTGGACGGCCGGGTCTGTTGCCGTGTGAGGCGCGAGTCTGGCGTCGCGGGGGATCAGCGCTCCGGGACTACATGGCTGGTGTGAGGGGAGACGTGCTCAATGCGCACGCTTTCAAATTGTTGTCCACGCGTCGACAACAGCCATTTCCCATTAGACAGCGGTGAGAGTCTATAACGCGGGTCGCCTCGTGGTGCATTGCGCACTGGTGCCGTGTTGAGGCCTCCGCTGCTCTGCGTTGCCTCTGATAGAGATCTCCCTACCAATGACGTCACTTGATCGCGCCGATGACGAATGGGCGCTGTGTAGAGGGACACGGCTGTTGCGGCCAGGCGCCGTGCTGTGACATATCGGACCGCCACCTTTGGGGGCTAACAGAGGCGTCACTTGAGCCGGCGAGTGGCAATGTCCGTCCGCAGCCGGTCCCCTGATGGATCGCCCTTGGGCGCGAAAACTAGCGGCGACGGAGACGGGGCGGTAGTGCCAGAGAGAGAGAGAAAGAGAGAGAGAGAGAGAGAGAGAGAGAGAGAGAGAGAGAGAGAGAGAGAGAGAGAGAGAGAGAGAGAGAGAGAGAGAGAGAGAGAGAAGGAAAGCTTCAGAGGGGGTGCGAGTTATAGTCTCGTGCTTAGCATTTCTGCCGTCATCCTACCGCTGTAAGTATCACGGACACCAGAGAAAACAATCGTGGCAGATGCGCTCATCACAAAAGAACAGGTTTTAAGTTGAATGATGCAAACCCGTGACATCTCCGTCTGAAATTATTGTGCTTTCATGCGTTCACTTAATAGCCTCCGTTGAAATTACGCTTCGCGTTGAAATTGATAGCAAACAAAGTGCAAATTAAGCACAAACACCGGGTAATGGTGTGGGCTTGTTAAAAGAAAGTTACGAAATTTCACGGATACACTCTTCAAAGAAAATCAAATAGATACGTCGTCATTGATGATGAAGTGCATCCCTGCGTCGCTGGCAGTACAAAGGTTATCATCAGCGATCCCATTTGGTCAAAAGACGGGCCTTATGCAATGATGCATGCACTAGTCGCGTCGGAGCACATTGAGCCCCCCGTCGGGCAGCACGCCTCGCCCACCGACCAAGGTTTTCCCGATCATGGCCGCTGACCCCCGCCGAGTTCACAAGCTTCAAACAGTTTGCGCGCCAAGCGGCTGTCCCAAACAAAGCGGCCCCCCAGCCTACCCGCCCCCCTTCTGTCTGGCCCTGGCCTCCCCACAGGGCCGCGCCGGTCGCCAATGGAAAATGCTATTAGCGGCCGTATCATTGGCGAGCGGCCGCGCCCTGTGTTTTGTTCGCGCAGCTCACCCGCCCAATATTCTTCTTGTAGAATACTGATTGCACCAACATGCCAAGGCTGCAAAAACACTATCAGTGCGCGCGGTGTTGGGCTTTGCCGAATGACGTTTATTCTTTTGCTCCTCCCCCCCCCCCTCTCTCTCTCTCTCTCTCTCTCTCTTTCTCTCCGCTCTCTTTCTCTCCGCTCTCTCTCTCCCCTCCCTCTCACCCTCTCTCTTATCCCTGCCTTCTTCTGCTTCCCTCCATTGCCATCTCCGTGCCCTCGTACATTTTTAAAATCACTCCATTAAACCCATAAGTTCTGTACCCCTGTAACCCCTGTATTCCGATAGTCGACGCCGGCACTGCACCAGTCCGCGTGCCTCGCTCTCGGCGGCTTCACGAGCCACAGCTGCGCTGTGCACGAACCTCCACCGGGCTTCCATCGGGCCTCCATGGAGCCTCTCTCAGGCCTCGGCCGGGTTCCCGCTCGGCGGCGCGGCGCGGCCCGCTGACGCGCCCGATCCGTCACGCTGACAGTCGGCCCGAGCTGCCGGTCAGCCGGCATCTGTCACACGGGCTTCGGCGCCGCGCCGGCGCTCGGCCGCCGGCCCCGACCGCCGCGGCGCACCGCATCCGTCACGCGCGTGACGCATGACGGATGGGGATACCGCGGCGGGGTGTCCCGACCGCCGGGTGGACCGGGGACGGACGTCCCAGAGAGGGACGCGGGCCCGGAGCGAGATTGCGGGCGCGGGACGGGATGAGTGCCGCCGGCGCAGATGGCGTGTTTGAGCGCGACAGCTGGATACACACGCGTTGATCGCGCAGCAATTGACGGGGCCGAGTATGTGGCCGCACGCCAACAGGCTGCGTCAAGACTTGAGTACCATCGGTGATTGGAGTTCTGCTCGGCACGTTGTGCTGTTGCATGGTATGAATGCCCGCCTGTACGGTATATTTGATTGGTTATGTGGACGGCTTATGGTATGGTAACGAGAATTCATCAACTCACGAAGGCGAGATAGGCTGTTCTCGCTGAGTATTCTCAGTAAACGCTGAAATGCATTTTCAATTGTCTATTCATCTTTCGCCCCATATGGTGTTATGTGATTTCCAACTGAACGGTGATTAACATCTGCCTTCGGTACAAACGTAGCCGAACAAACTCTAGAGTTACTGCTTGTTATCTTTATATGATATTTTGACAAGTCGCCGCAAATGTGACCGTTCACCAAACTGAACGTGCGGCACACATCTTCTCTGTCCTCTCAGACTGCATACTTTTTCTGAAGCAACTTCCTTGCCTCACCATACGGGCCCGCTCCCGACAGTCCAGCAATGAACGCGACGACGCAAACACTTCTAACGTCGGGGCGGCAGATGCACCGTGCAACGCATCTGCTGGCAGAAACCAACGCTGGATGAACAGAGCTCCTCATCAATAGTGCCGGCGTAGCATCAAATCGCTGCGCTGACCGCAGATTAAAACAGCGCACCACCGCATGCTCTGGTTACGGTTCCCATGTCACAGAATGCATAATTGTACGCGCCACCGCCGCTGTCTCTACCTTTTACGTGGAGTGTGGTTCGCTGGGGCCAGACCAGCGGGCAGGGCCATGGGTGGTCCGGACCACCCGATATCAGTTTGTAGCTGGCTTTAAGTTACCGAACGTCGCCGGTGTCGGGTTTATGGGAACACCAAATGGTTACATCAATGAGGGACCCAAGACCGTGCATCAATGAGGGGCCCAAGACCGTGCAGGAAATTCTCCGCATTCTGATTTGCTCTCAGCGTAACCAGAATATCCTTTTGTTGAAGTATTGTTTCTGGTTGATCCTCTGGGCTTATATCAAGCTAGTTATCCCTTTGCCTGGGTTTCTCACGCAGTGGATTAAACGATTTCATTAGGCAGATACTGCCTTACCCTCTGGGCTCATCTCAACTTAATCACGTCTTTGCCTGGTACTCTTCCGTAATGGATTAGATAACGTTTGATTGCACTGGACAGATACCATCCTGTTGCTAAGTATTCACCTTTCCATTCCAGTCACACAACTGTGCCGAGCAGTTTGGAGTTCTGACGTTCGATGACATAAGCTGGAGCCACTAGTGGAGCCGCTGGTCGTCTGGAACCAAATGACATATTTAGTGTGGAATCTGGTGAAATGACATGATATTTCACAATGAAAAGTCTTGGGCCGACATAACAGAACACGTATCTGTCTTTTCCACCTATAGTCGTTGACGACGGGGATGCCCGTTTGCGGCACACACACCCGCCTCAGACGGTTGCCGTGCCCGGCCCCAGCGGTGCGCCGTCCCCCCGCCGCTTGAAGGCCCTGCCCGCTGCAATGTGCCGCCACTTGCCCCGCCGTGACGCGAAGGCCTTTGTTTCGCAGGCTCGTTGGCTCACTGCCGAGACGGTCCTGTGCCCGGCGGCTGCACTGACTGTGGACTTCGACCTGTGGACGTCGGCCTGACACCTACCCGGCCCCACTGCGCCCGACGCGTGCCGGACACGCTGAACCCGAGCGTCTGGTCTCGGTGCGAGCCTGCCCGGGCGCGATCCGACTGAGTGCGCGCTAGGACGCCACTGGTGACGAGCGTCCCATCCCGGCCGTCGAGTGAAAGGCCTCGGTGTTGGGGCGGACAAAGGAGCGGCCGAGTGGAAGGCGCTCTGTGAACGCCGGGAGCTTTTCATCAAGGTGAGGATGCAGCGACACGCTCTTCTGGCCAAGGATCGGCCGAACACGCTTCTGGGATAACTGAGCGGGCAACGGGATCCTCCGGGCGCGCAACAACTGCCGCGAGCCGAGGAAGTGTCCGTTTGATGCCCCAGCGGCGATGAAGGCATTTTAATCTTCTTTAGTTGGCTTCGCCGGAGCGGAACAGGATAAGCCCGCCCATGGTGCAACTTGTTATCGGCTCCAAGATGACCGCTAAATAATAAATGACCGCGGCCACGCCGGCATTGTCTGCGCCGTGATATGAGGGGTGGGTGGGGCGCTGATGGACCGGGCGTCGATGGCTCCGACGGTATCAGGCCGGCCCGCGTCCGCATCGACAGAATGCTAATTAGTTTATTGTGCCGCGTCGGCAGGTTGGGCAGAACCGGAGCGTGCCCGACATGATGAGTATGATGCGGTCTGAACTGGGCGCAGAATTCGCTGACGCCACGTCGGTCGGATGTGCCGCATAAGCGCAGCGTGAAATGGTAGCCTGACTCGTTGACGAAGGATGCTAACGCTATTAATCCCAAAACGGTCGCCGTTGTCGTCATTGTCGTCAGCCGCTTCGTGTCCACATCGCATTGAGGGCGGCCGGGGGCTCGAATAATAACAAACTGACGTGAACACTGAACAAATTCCCCTGCACCTGGCTGGTGAACCAGTAACATCATCTAAACACGATCGCAGTGGATGCTATAACGAGAAAACTGTTTCGCTTTGGTTTAAAGGGAATGCTTTACAGTTGAAGATATTGAAGCAAACATCAGATAGGATGAAATAAGCTCACTTATAACTATTTGTATACTATTAAGTGGAAAATGCTGCTGCACACAACATAATTTTTCTACTTCGCAAATATGCTCCCCCGTACGTCGTTGTTTGATTTTGTCATCTTACCTTGGACAACATCGATTGAGAGCCAATTGATGGCCGCCAAATCTGGAAATCGTGCTCACGAACAGCGGATATGAACAACTTGACCTTTATACTTTACTGGCCTTGGTTGTCGCATGGCCAATGGAATGGCACGATTTGAATGACGTTATTATGACGTCATAGATGCCTGGGTGATTTTGAAATAGCCTTCCCGAACCAGTCTGTACATCTTCGCGAATGTGTACTTTAGAACGAGGAGGGCTTAGGTCTTAAGGACAGGACTGTGAACGGCACCAAGTGATCCTCAAGATGGCTATTTCAGTTCAAAACCTCATACAAATATGGAGCACTCCGTTTAAAGAAATGGAAATGAAATGACCGTCTGTTCCAAAAAAATGTGGGTGCATACTGGACAAAAATATAAAGTCGATTGAAACGTCTACGTACTTTTATGTGCGGCAGAGAATACTTGAGAAAGCTGTAAGGAGTTTTTAACGTCTATTTGCACTGGTGTGGCTCCAACGATTATCTGAAAGTTGGACAAATATGGAACTGGCGGTTCCAGACACATTCCGAGTTACAAACTTCTTGAAAGTTTGGCTTGACAAGCGGTTTGACAGAAAATCATTATCAATTGGAAGAAGTTACGCCATCAAAACTCTCTTTTCCGAAGAAGCAGAGCGCTTCTGAGATGGCCGGCGTCCTGTCTTGTTCGAAATGGTTTGATTCAGAGCACATAACTTCCTTGTAGCTTTGTAGTAGAGTCAAGACACTGCCAGCGGCATAGTGCCTCATGGGAGACATTTTCTTCCAGAGGCAGAGTCATCAGAGATCACAGAGGTATTACAGGTATTACACCATTAAGGAGCTTTATTTACGAACAACGTCTTATTGTGTCAGGTCATATTGTTACCACAATGGTTACAAGCGACTAGAAAAACGCTCAAGAAACTTTTCTCTTTTCCTTTTGCATCCAGCCAGTTAAGAGCGTGGACTGGGTTCGGGGCAAGGCGACAAGGCGAGGCAAACGTCGCTATCAACATTTCAGCACAGTTTCGCATTTTCGGCACATTGCACGTGCACATTTTCGGACTGACTGTGGGAGTCGGATAAAGAGCCGACCGATGACCAACAGGCGAACATGGACACGGCAGGGGTTGTCTGACCTGTATCATCAACGCCTCTCGGTGTTGATATCTACCCCAGCAGCAAGCTCACCTGTGCACACAGACTGCGCAGCTCCACGCCGCCAGACCTGCGCCTTACAACCCTCTGCGTGTTGCACAGCGCTGGCGCGTGAGTTTGCTGACGTGGCCCCTCTGCTCAGCGGCCGGCAAACAGCTGACGTGGCCCCTCTGCTCAGCGGCCGGCGAACAGCTGACGTGGCCCCTCTGCTCAGCGGCCGGCGAACAGCTGACGTGGCCCCTCTGCTCAGCGGCCGGCGAACAGCTGACGTGGCCCCTCTGCTCAGCGGCCGGCAAAACGCGTGCGGAGCGCGCCACTCTCTTGGCGCGCTGCAAATTTCCTGCGAATCAGATTTTCGTGCACGCGACGGGATGAAGTTTTGGACTGTGACGGGTTCCAGGAAGCGTTTCTTGTGAAACGGCCGACGGACATCAGTCCATTATCAGCTGGCGATCTCGGCGAAGGCTGCACGGAAGCGAAGTCGCCGTCACAGTTGGCAGGAGCTTCATACTCTGCCGTCATTCCGCGCCTTCCGGCCGGAAGAACGTTAGGGCACGGCGATCCGAGTCCGTCGGGGATAAGGAGACAGGCTGCAGGTCGACCGGCGCCTCTTGAAAATTGAAAAGACCGTGTGTAATATCCGAGCTCGGGTGAAGGCGTCTCCTTGCTTTGATGAAGTCCTTTGCTAGCAGAGGCTTCACTGAGGCAGACAGACCTTCAGCTGGTGAAGCAGGGGCGGGGTTGATGTTTGCTCCCGCGAAACGCTATCTGTTGGAGACCAGGGCCTCGGCAAACACTGAGTGCCATGAAGTTTCCGCCCTTCTAGCCTTTGCGTGGATCAGGGCTGGGCTTATGCATGCCAAGCTCTTCATCGCTCTCTGAGTATGTGTCAGACATGATAGCGCCATGTGGGTAACCCCCGCGTTTTCCTTTCCTTGCTTATCTGGTGTCTAACGTGCGGTCGAGTTAAGAGCAGACATCGCCGGACGCCTGTTGTCCATGCGGCACATCATGATGCTCCGCCTCGTGGGATTCTGCCACGCCGATGTGCTATCCACAATTCGGACAAACCATATGTGCCATGACAACCTGCCAGCCTCGCACACTGTCGTCACCGCGTGAGCACGCCCAGCGGTCCAGTGGGCCCGGCGCGCGGTGTTGGAGCTCGTCCCCAGCTGGGCCAGGGCTGGACCCTCCTCCTCCCGACCCCTCATGCCCGGTGGACATCCGCGCTGTCCGATGTCTCGCCAGGGGCGCCACCGGATTCCCAGCGCGTATTAAGCCGCGGGCTAATTGAGGTCGGATGTCGGCCTCCACGGACCGGGAGGCCCCCCCCCCCCCCGCCTACCGCTGTAGTGAAAAACGTGGCCGGCCGGCCGTCGCCAGATCATGCAGGCCGAGGCCCTTGGTTTGGGATCATTCTGGAGCCGGTAATGCTGAGTTAACCAACTGATGTTAAGTTTAAGAGCTGGTGTTGAAAGTGGGCTGGCCCGCTGTGGGCGCCTCGCCGGTCTCGTCTATCCTCAGGCGGTGCTACCCGCGCGCGGACACGCTGGCTGCCGGCAGAGCGGGCTGTCCCCGAGCAGTGTCAGGGCCGGGCTGGACCTGAGAGCGTGCGCCGCCGACCCTTGGTCTGGACCCCACGGGCCTCAAACCCGAACACCGGTCTGCCACGCTCGCTAACCGCGCTCCTGGCCGTGTATAATTGATGACCGATGCCTCTGCCATTATGCTCGGCCATCACATGCATAGCTATGCGCGGCTACGCCTGAAATGTTAATGCGCCGGTGATTAGGAGGGAGGGCCTGCCCCGTGGGCGAGGTGACGGCAGTGAGGCAGGCCTGGAACTGATGCGTACCGGCAGCCGGCAGCTGCCACCAATGGACGTGGCGCGTAGTTTAATTAGGGGGGCCAGACGCAAACATTTTAATTGTTTCCGTCTTGAGATGGGAATAACGGCACTTTCATTTTTATTTGGAGTGACGTTCGCGTTGTGGCACGCGTATTTTAATCCTGCAGGGATTTCAGGGTATGCGTCATACCTTTGTGCATGTTTTGGACGAAGAAGCGTACTGACGTACTTTACGCCTGAAGAAAAATCTTTCCTTGTCAAATGTAAGCATATTTTTATGCTCCGTGCCTAAAAAGAGCCGAGTTTTCTCAGACAGCCGCTTGGAAAACTGGCGAACTTCCCAACCCAAAGCCCATTAGTCTGCAATAAGAAGTGTCACCGCCTAAGAGGCTGGGTCGCCGCGCGTGCTGGTTGGAAATGAGCCGGTCCGATCCCGCTGGTGAGCGTCGTCGCTTGAAGTCGCCTCTTCACGAGCTGCGGGGGGCCAGAGCGTTCGTCGCTTGAAGTCGCCTCTTTACGAGCTGCGTGGGGCCAGGACGCCGGGTCGAGCTGCGGCGGCCTTGTGGCGCAACTGCCGGACGTCTGGTCACCCGAGCGGAGGGACGTGCGGGACAGTCTCCATCGAGGCATTACGGTGGTCCTTTAAAGCATCACGTCCAGTCCCGAAAAGTGGCCTCTTATATTTTGTAATTGGCTAAACGTATGCGATTTGCTTTTAAGCAATAAGTACGCTGACATAAACCACGTATGTTAGAGAACTCTGGCTGCACGATGCTTCCATTGCAGTAAAACAACGTCTGATTTAACGGTTTGTATACAAGTGCCTTAAAGTAGGCCCTAGGCTGCCTAACCAACGTCCTGCGCGACAGCTGTAGGTACGGTTTGTAGCTGGCATTGGTTGACATTAATGCGCTGATGAGTCTACGATATCCGCACTTCAGCGCGCATGCGTGAGGGCGCCTCATGGCGTCCCTAGAACCCTCCGCCGGACGCCGGCTGGGGCCACCGCCCGGTAACGCTCGGACGTCCAGTCTCTCCACCAGCCTGTCCCTGTGTGCCGCGG